GGATAATAATGTGACTGATGAAATAAAAAATAATATTAATGGTATGTACTATATTGTAATTATTGTTAAACATTTTAATAGAAATATAATTAAAGAAATATTTGTACATAAATATATGCCGAAGCACATAATTAATTTTTGATTTTAATATTAATTCATGGGTTCTCTTTTCAAATAAAGAAGATATAATAAATACAATTTCCAAATCCTCAATGGAATTAAAAAGGCTACTTCAATCATTTTTAATGTATATAGCAGTATGTATTTTATTATTTAACATTATCTACTTGATAATACATTAATTAAAAAAGTGAGTTTTAATAAGGATAAATTTAAATGTTTTTATGCACTAAAAAATTCATTCCAAAATAGTTATACTTTCCTTTCCTTATTTTGATATATGGTTTATTTTTTAAAATTATTGGGTCCCCCAAAAAAAATTTCTGCCTGGGCCCTCAGGTACCTAGGCCGACCCTGAGCACAGCGATCACTACAACACTTCTATAGTCTATAAAATAATTAATTATCAATAATAAGGTTTTTATTAATTATGAACAACAGAACAAAATTAATAACGATGGACATTTTTTTATAAAATTATATTATAATTCAAGTTTTTAAATATTACCTTTTGTTATTATTTAATGTATATTATACATTTTATTTAAATAAATAATAAATATAATTTGAAAATCAAGTGCAACCAACGGCTTTAAATATATTTGATCTTAACACATTAAAATCATCACACTGGTATAGTATCTACTACTTCGTAAACAACAAGTATGTATATAGTCTAGTCGTCTAGACCAGGGATTCTCTAATTGTGGTACGTTTACCCTTTGGGGATACTAGAATTTTTTTAACATAAAACATAAAATTGATTAATTATTAATAAATTATTCATTAAAAAATTGTCGTAGTATTATTGAACGGTTTATAGAATGCATAACAAAATTCATAATTCAAAACAAACAATTCGTATTTTGTCACATCGACCGCGCCGTAATAACTGGCGAAACATTATTACAGAAATCGCACTCCTATTCACATAATAGTGGTAATATACTCTGTGGTAAATTATTGAACTATGAACTAACAAAGGTGGTGCCTGTATGTTCAGCCAGCCAGTAAGTCGCATGATTCTTTTATCAAACAACACTCATTATTTAAAAAAGTATTGACTTTTTTCAAAATATTTTTAACATAGTTTCAAGTTGTTAAAAAACCAACGCTTTTATTAAAAAATTATATTTTTAAATATTTTTTATCCTTATMATWTTTKWAAGTTTTTTACTTTTTTGAATGACAACATAGAGTTTTAATTTCATATTCCAAAGCAGAATATTTTTCTAAGTATTTTGATACGTAAAAATCAAATTTTGGACGAGTAGTTTATGAGTTCTAAGTATTTAAAGTTTTGACAAGCAGAGTATTGGACAAACATTTTGTGGGGTAACCCCGTACCACTTCACTCTGTCAATCTAAACTTTAAATACTTATAACTCATAAACTACTCGTCCTAAATTCGATTTTTATGAATCAAAATACTAAGGAAAATATTCTGCTTTGGAATATGAAATTAAAACTCTATGTTGTCATTCAAAAAAGTAAAAGACTTCAAAAATGATAAGGATAAAAAAATGTTTAAATCAAATTTTTTAATAAAAACGTTGGTTTTTGAACAACTTGAAACTATGTAAAAATTTTTCAAAAACATTAGTTATTTTTGAAATAATGAGTGTTCAATGATAAGATAATCACAATAATACACAAAATACATGTAACTATATTTTATGATATATCGGTATTGGGTTGAAAAATTATTCCTACAACCTACAATATTAAATAAAAATATTAATTTCTGGATCATTAATTATCATTATTATTTGTTATTAATTATTATTTTGATAATAAAACCAGAATTGTATTGTATCTTGTATCGCATCATAAATWATTTTATGAAATACTAGATACATTGACTAAAAATGTATCGCGATACAAGATACAATTGTATCTAAGATATGTATCTACAATACTTGTATCGAAGATACTGCCCAACCCTGACTGTTTGTTGGTTATGCAAACCCATCACCAGCTACAGAAAAAAAAAATGTGATTTTAATATAGTATTATTTAATGGGGAAACGACTTATATGCCCTAAAAAAACAAGAAATATTCTCTTAAAATTGTGCAAGTATACATTGCAAATGCCATACATATGCTTGAAAAAAATATACACTTAAAAATGTTGATATATGTATTTATTTTCAAAAAAAGTCATAAAATATGCATTTATAACACAAGTAGGTATGCTTTAAAATTTAAATATTTATATTTATTTAATATACAAACACAGAAATATATGAAAGTAAAAACATTAATTAAAAGTTAAAACATATACTTATTTAGTTATATATATATTATGTTTTTTTTTTTTTTTTCAATAATCAATGAATGTAATAGAATACTAGCAATTTTTGTTGACAAGGGAATATAAAAAATGTTGATTTTTTTTCTAACAATAACTAAAAATTAAAAATAATTTAATTGTTATATTTGGAATAATATGATATGAAAAATAAATAATATGACCCATAAAATATCAAAATATTAAAATATGCATTTATTAATAAAAATAATAGAAGTGCATTTTTAGCCTCCAGTATGTGAAACGGATTTCTATCTCACTTACCAATATTTTGGACTAACCAAAATAGTATGCAAAATGAATATAAATATATTCTCTAATTATTAATAATCATCTTTTTTATTGAATTTGAATATAACCTAATACTAAATACCTAATAAATAGGTATATAATTCAGTTTAATATAAAGATTATTTTTAAATTAACATATTATGTAGGTAAAATTATTTAAGCCTACAAAAATATTGATACCTATCCATATTCCATTGTATAATCTATGTTCAATATAAGGTGATAAGTTCTTCTAACATTACTAGTTAGTCTTCACTTCATTATTATACGTTGAACMGTAGAAGTATCAAATGAAACATAACTTAGGCGTCTATAAATTTACGGCTAAAATTATTTTCATATATTTATCTTAAAAAATTTCACGACCCATTGATTAGGAAACACTGGTTTACATCATACATGATAATGATATGGTAAATAATTTAACTAACCTTTTTTCAGACTCAGCAACTTGGCTTTTGCTATAATAGAAATATAATCTGGAAAACTTGAAGGTATTGCATTTTCTTTCAATTTTAGAAGGTAGGTAGCTAATTTTATTATTTTTATTAAAAACATCTTTAGTAGAGGGATCATAGTAAACTTTGCTGCAACATGTGGGAATAAACCCTTTTTAGCCATCTGACTGGATTCATTGTTGATTCTTGAGGAAACCTTATTATAATTTATATATCATATTATTAATACTTATGAAACCTATTAAGCCTGATACGAACCATAAAAGCAGATTTTTCGAACTCCAGGTTTTGACAGGTTTGTAATTAAATGCACACCATTATGCATAAGAGCATACGTTTCCTGTATTTGCTAGTTTTTAATAGAATGTTAATAAATTTAAAAAATTAACGCTGTTATGTAGTAAACATAAACTTTCAACAGTTTCAAGTTTTCAGATGTTATAAATTATAATAATTTTTTGGTTATCACTAAGATTGATAACATTGATTTGTAAACATGATTCACAAGGCCACATTCTGATTTATAAAGAAGAAGACGGTTGACTTCAAGACGTATGAACATATAGTCGGGCATCTAAGACAGTTGTGCCCTTAGATAATACATGTAGATTGTAGGTATGTATTATCTATTATTTAAGATTGTACCTTCAATTATTAATTTGTATAGTTATAATGTTATATGTTAATAATTAATATATAATTATAATTTTGTTTTATATAATAATAATCGTTATTGACGTTATAATACGTAATTGATGAGTGATCACACATTAATTGCACAACGTTATATTTTTATTTGTTCATCTGTATTATTTTTAATTAGAAAAATTCAACAAATCAAAGTAACATTTTATTGTATTTGAATAAGTTTATTTATTACAGTTTCAGCAGGTGCATAGACTGCATCTGCTACTTGATACCAGGGCGGTGGTGCAAGTGCGTGCACCCACTCAAACTACGTCACTGCCAAACATTATCTTGCACAATTATTAATGTACGGTTTTTGGTGGTTGACATTTGTCGTTGTTCCGTGGCTTTATGTCGACAATATATTATATATATAATTCTTTCCTTATCTTTAATCGGTGGTTTACGCACAGATATTATATAAAACAACATTGCATAGGGTAGGATAGGTTAACTGTGGGTGTAACGTTACACGGCACGAGTGACGTAGTTGCAGCCTCCGTGGTGAGACATTGACTTACTTATTATGAAGGATATTTGGTTAGGTTTGTCGCGATTCGTGCCAGGGTCAACCCTTTTAGCCATAATAATAATATATTATTCACTTTGTTTCACCGGTGCAAACGTTGTTGTCCTGGTAACCTGGTAGCCGATGATCGATGTATCGGTTGGTCAACAACCAACAGGTTGTTCTGGATTCGCGCTCTCTCTGGCGTCGGATTACTCGGATTATTCGCAGCACGGGCTCGGCCGTCGGTCACTACGACTACGCACATGTTTTGTGGTTGCTTTTGACATTTTTATTGTTATTATTATTTATTATTGCCGTTTGGAACACGGTCTCATCGCGTCTCGTCCGCCATTGATTACATTTTACACGTTTGTGCTSGTTTTCGACGTAAAGCCCTAGAAACTTTCAGACTTACTATTGACTATTGTTTTTACTCCAACGAAGCTTATCGTCGGCGTATTGAATACTCGTTAAAACAGTGTTAGCTAATCTTTAGACGTCAATCACAGTTGTCATAGCGTGTGCCGCAGTCCAGCACGCTCACATTTGTCTAGTTCTGTTCAGCTCAAGTCCGTCGTTAAAACGTTCCAGCTGGAGTCCGCCGTGTGATAGATGTCGTTCCTTTTTTTGCTATACGGTACTGTTTTTAAATACATTATAATACACAATAGATATTATCATATTGGGGGTAGGCACTTGACTATTCTTTGAACATTCCCTCCTCAAATTTTAACAATTTAGTGACAAATAAAAATATAGGTATTATATGCATATATAGGAGTTAACTGTTAATATGTTATGTATGATGACCCTGTAGATAATGTCCAGGAGCAAGTCTGCATTAAAGCCTAACCTAACCTACCATGAAAAACTCTGCGGATCGCTAAAAAAAAAGATCAATCCAAGTGTACCAAGTGTTTGGGCCATTATTTTATAATACAAATTTAAATAAATTTATATGTACCTCTGTGCGCTGCATAAAATCTAGATCAATTTAGAAATGTTCAACTGAAAATGGGCCTCTTAGGGCTGGTTATAAAACTAAAACTCGTTGGGGCGTTGTATATCCGGCGCTTTCTTGGCATGCTTATGGATATTATAGACATATTATCTGTCTCTATATAGGTACCTAATTAACTAACAATAAACAAACAATATTTGAATGATAATTGTTAAAATAGTATTATTTTTGTTAGACATCAGTTAGTTTACTTGCCCAAAAAATAAAAATAATTATAATTTATAGTAATAATTTATTACTATAAAAATATAAAATATGCAATTTGAATGATAGTTACTATAATATATAAGTCAGTTACAGTTAGTTTGCCAAAAATTAAAAATTATTATAAATAAATAACCATACCTATAATTAATCAGTTTGTTATAGAAAAAAGTTAACCAATAGGTACGCTTGCATATTTATTTATAGGTATTTATTTATTATTTATTTATTAGACTCAGCTGTCCAAAATTATCCAATGGTTTTTATATTTTCATTTTGTCTTTTAAACTTTAAACCAACTCTTTTAGAGAGTAAATTATATCTTAATTCATTGTTGAACTCTAGTATTTGAGTACCCTTTTAGTACTTTAAATGAATATGCTGTGTCAATAATTATTCCATAGAATATAAAATTAATAGTCTAGTATAATATTCAATACAAACTATGGTAATTAATAATAATTGAAATGACATTATAAAGTTATATAATATAACATGGTATTATAGGATTATTATCCATAAAATAACTCTATAAATATTTTAGTATTTAAACATTTCTTCTTAAAAGCTATAATACTAAGTAATTTTGTTCATATCTATCACTTTATAAAGATCAGTATATATACATTTTAATTCATGATTATTTTATTTGTATTGACAGTTTGATCAACATCAATAGTTAGTTACAATGTCCAATACACATATCTTAACCTGTGATAAGAAATATAATGCACAAAAATCGGTATAGTATACATTGAAATATTTTTATTATATTAATATATAACTTACATATAACTTAATAAATATTTTTTCAACTTTTCATTTATTTATATTAAAGATGTCTACTGATGAAGAAACATTTGTTGGTGTTATTGATGAAGGCGTTAACAGTACACGCTTCTTGGTATATACTATTAAGCTTAATAAATATAGTAATACAATTATTAATGTTCTTAATTAATAACAATTATTTTTCAAGACTTATGAACTAATCTTTTTATTTATTAATATATTAATTACTCACAATAATAGTTGAGAATTATAATTAATTTAAAGATTGTATAATATTAATATAAACAAAAAAGGTAGATCTAAAGTTAAAAATTGTATAGGTTTTTTCATCAAAAACTCACTTGCCAATAGCCTGTCATCAAATAAGTATACCTAACATAAACGTCTATGAAGGATGGTTGGTACTAGATCCTGAGGATATACTAATGAAAATCAAAACAACTATAGCTGTAGTATGTAAAAAACTCAACATGATGCATATATTATCTTCAGCTATTGCTGCGATAGGCGTAACAAATCAGCGAGGCACTACTTTAGTGTGGGACAAGTATACAGGGGCACCATTATACCATGCTTTAAGTAAATACATTTTTTTATCTTTAAGCAAACTATTAGTTATAAGTCTTATAATCTAAATTTAACAATATCTTAATGTTTACAAATTAAATCTATAGTTTGGATGGACATGGCAACTACACAATCAATAGTTGATAGATTCATCAACAAACAAATTTCTAACTGTAATACGTTGGATGAACAAAAAAAGTGAGTTAATATTYAAATTAAAAAAAATTCATACATTATTCTATAAGCATAGTGGCAATTAGGTGGGGGATAGTGGGGCTAAACCCTCAAAATATTTATCCAGCTCTCACATAATAGATTCAAATATAAATTATAAAGTAAGCCATGATTTATGAATTTTTTTATTAGCGGGTCTGTGTGTAGTGTATCAAATTCTAGCACCCAAAAAATTGACCCTAAGTACCCTATGACTATTAGTAAGCTCAATCATAGTTATTTTAAAAGTTATAAATTGATTCAATTTTTTTTTTGTTCTGTTGAAATTTGATTCAACATTACTTAACTATTAACATTTTTAATCTAACTGAATTGATAATTGATCAATTTTACCATACATTTTAATATAGTATCAGATAGATAATATAACAAAAGTATATAATATTTTTTCTATGATTATATTTTCATGTGATAATACTAAAATTGCTTATGGTTTTTTGTTATTTATCTAATTTTATCTGATAGATTTTTGCAATCCAAATGCGGTTCGACTTTGAATCCACACTTCAGTGTATTCAAATTGATTTGGTTGATGGAAAACGTACCTCAAGTTTCAAAAGCTATTCAAGAAGAGAGGTGTATGTTTGGTACAATGGATTCATGGCTAATTTGGGTAATAACTAAGAATCTAAGATTATGATTATGTGAAAATTAAATGGAATTTGTTATCTACGTCTTAAAAATGCATAACATTGCAAATTTACAGTCAGCAGGTCACATGGTAGTTTCTTTAATTTTAAAATTGGAGTGAATTGACTACTCCCTATGAAAGTTGAAGGYAAGAAAATATTCATTTCTGTTTTTGTTTATAGGTTTCTTTATAATAAATCATTTTTTAATTGAGTTATTTTATGTATGTCATATCATATACTCAAAATTTGTTAAAAATTAACATCTTAAAAAAAAACCCATGTACAAACACTGATAATGTTTTTGCAATTAAGTTTCCTTAAAAGCCAATCCACTCTAATTTTAAAACTAAAAAAGTTACACGTGATCTGTTGAGCTGATAAATTTGTTATATTTTGATTTTATAAGAAAAAGACAGCAAATGCCTGTGATAAGTCCTTTTAATAGAATATTATGAAAACGAATCTAATACACTATTAATGAAATCAGTTTAACATCGGTATGGATTTACAAAAATAAAACATGCATTTTCAAATACTCAAATTATTATGTCATAAAAAACTTTTCTTTTTTCAAATACTTTTACTGTAAGTTATGAACTTATAACTAGGGCCTGAGAGTTGATGACCTTAAAAACAATAAAAAATGCAAATATGACATACAAATGGAAAAAAATGTCCTTAAAAAATTACAAATATTAGTTTTAAATTAATAAAAATGCATTTTTTAAAATGTTTTACTCTATTTTACTATAAAATTGTATATAAATTTATCAAAGCTTTGAATTATTCAAAATATGACATAAAAATGACAAAAATATACTTAAAAAATGAAACTATGACTAGTCCATAGGCACAAATCACCAAAAAACATTAGGGGGGCTTAAGCACCAAAAATGTTTGAGGAAACAGACCAAACTCGTGAGGGGCTTCGCCCCTCACACACCCCAATAGTACTATGCTATATATTATATAAATAAAAAT